GCCAGCGTCCTGAATGATTTTCTGCGCGTAGTGTCCCTGATTGAGAAAGAAGCCGTTTGTTGTTCGAGTTACTTGAATGCCGAGGAACAGTGAAATCTGGCCAAGCTGTTTAAGAGCAAAATTGGAATGAAGATCTTGAAGAAGAGATTGAATTTGTGCGGGATCGTTACCAGTGACGAGTATATCGTCCACATAGATGAGTAGAAATATATGAACATTGGATTTGTTGTAAATTAAGAGGGAGGGGTCGGAACGACTGAACCTGAAGCCGCGAGATTGTAGGAAGCTGGTGAATTTCTGAAACCACTGTCGCGGGGCTTGTTTGAGGCCGTAAAGAGACTTATGAAGTTTGCAGACGGCGGTGGGATGTAGAGGATCTTCGAAACCAGGTGGCTGTCGCATATAGATGTCCTCAGAGAGATCGCCGTGAAGAAAGGCGTTTGAGACGTCTAATTGAAGCATTGGCCAGTTCCGGTTGACAGCGAGAATCAGAAGCATACGTATGGTGACCATTTTAGCCACTGGGCTGAATGTTTCGTTGTAATGCTCGCCAAAGTTTTGCGTGTATCCGAGGGCAACGAGCCGTGCCTTGTAGCGATCAATCTGCCCGGAGGGTAGAGTTTTTGTTTTGTAGGTCCATTTGCAGCCGATGACTTGCTTGTTTGGAGGGGCTGGTACGAGAGACCAGGTGTGCTGCTTAATAAGGGCCTGATATTCGTTTGTCATAGCTTGTTGCCAATGCAGATGTTTTGATGCTTGGTTGTACGTAGTTGGCGTGACCATGTGCCCTGTATTACCGAGTAGTGAAGTAAATTGTTTTGGTTTTGATATACCTGATTTGGATCGTGTTTGCATAGGATGAGTTGGTAGAGAGCGATCGGTGTGATTCGGTAAGTCGTGCGGCAACTGAGATGCAGGGAGAGAGATGGATTCTGTTGGAGCAGGACGCGGGACGGGAATGCTGTTGGACGGAATATTGCTGGGCTGATTGGCTTGGCTGGTTGCGTGTGAGGCCGGTACCAGTAGTAGCGGAGGCAAGTTGTTCGTTATTGACTGTGTGGTAGTTGAATGCGGAGTTTCTGTATGTAGAAGGGGAAAGGTTGTCTCGTGAAATACCACATGCCGAGAAATCTGAGTTTTGTTGGTTGCTATATTGAAACATTTGTATCCCTTATGGTTGGTGGAGTAGCCCAGAAATAGACAAGGTTGGGAGCGGGGAGACAGCTTGTCTTTGGCATACGGTTGTAACCATGGATAGCATAGGCAACCGAACGTTCGGAGGTTGTCGTAGTCCGGTGGGTTGTTGTACAGTTTTTGAAAAGGGGTCTGAAGAGCTATGGTTTTGGATGGTAACCTGTTTATGAGGTAGTTTGCTGTTGAGAGTGCATCTGTCCAGAATGAGTTTGGGAGACCGGAGGCAATCAGCAATGTTCGGGTAATGTCAAGTAAATGGCGGTGCTTTCTCTCTGCTACACCGTTCTGTTCGGGTGTGTGAGGACAGGAGAGTTGGTGATGTATGCCGAGTGAGTTCAGATAGTTGGTGAACTCGTTGCCAAGGAATTCGCCGCCGGAGTCCGAACGAAGTGTTTTTGGAGTCTTATTGAATTGGTTGTATATCATGCTGAGCAAATTTTTAAAACAAGAAAAGGTTTCGTTCTTGGTGCGCATAAAGTAAATCCAGGAAAATTTAGTAAAGTCATCGATGAATACAACATAGTATCTAAAATTGTTTGAACAGGAGGTCGGAATTGGTCCCCAGACATCCGAATGAATTAATTCGAATGGATGTGTGGTGACCGATTGCCTGTTTTTAAAAGTTTGCTTATGGCTTTTAGCCATGCTACAAGCTTGACATTGAAAATCAGAAGGGATATGTTGCATATTAGAAATGCGAGATACAAGAGTGTTAAAGATTTTATTGTTCGGATGACCAAGACGAGCGTGCCACACGGTGGAGGAAGAATTGGTAGTGTGAAGAGCCTTCGGGTGAGCGTCTGGTGTGATATGGAGTTGATAGATTCCATTAAGCAGTCGACCACGAAGAAGTGGCTGTTGAGTCTGAACATCCTTAATATCAAAGCCGTTAGAATCGAAAGTAATGGTAACATTGTTTTCTTGCGTTAGCTTGGAAACAGATAATAGATTGTGTGTTAAAGTGGGTACATGAAGAAGGTGACAGAGGTGAAGCTTACGCGGTGAATTAGGCAGGGGAAGCAAACCTTGTCCAAAATTTTGGATGGGTATAGAAGAGCCATTGGCCGTGGAGACAGAATCTGGACCGTGGTATGCATTGGAGTGTTGAAGGTTCGTGCTGTCAGCCGTCATGTGAGCGGTGGCGCCGGAATCCATTACCCAGGTTTGAGCGTTGTCTGAAGTTGGTTGAGCAAGAAGAGCTCGGGAGCCAGATCCGGTCGTATTGGCTGGGGCGTACCTGTGCCAACAGTTAATAGCAACGTGACCGATCTTGCCGCAGATTTGGCAAGTCGGTCGATTACCTGAGGTGGGCTGAGACGCAGAAGATGAATCCGGCGTATTGGTGGGTTTGTTCGAAGCAGTACGGTATTTCTGATTCCGTTTCTGGAATTTGTTGCGATTTTGATTGGAATTGGTAGTGTAGTAGGCGGCAGGAGCCGGAGAAGCGTCTTTCTTGATATCTTGATTCACGTGGATTTCTTCGCTACATAGAAGCGAGTACAAAGCGTCAAGATCAGCGGGCTGCGAAGAAGAGCGTATGTAAGTCTTGATGGAATTGAAGCTAGCCGGAAGGCCGTTCAATATATGTAGGACAATATCTTCAGGATCCACGGTGGCTCCGGAGGCAGCGATTGTATCGACAATGGTCTTGAGGTGAGCCAGGTATTGTTGCATCGTGAGATTGTTCATTTGAACGTGGTGGAGCTCATTCTTTAATTGTAAGATGCGGGAGCGACTGGAAGATTGGAGTCGTCGTTCAAGAACAGACCAAACCTCATGAACCGTGGAGGAGGTGATGACATAGGGAAGAATGGTGGTAGAGATCGTGGAGAACAAGGCAGAGATCAAGTTGCTATCAATGAGGCGCCACTGGGCGTATTCTTGAGTGCTGCTGTCCGGTGGGGGTTGAGTTTTGCCTGTGAGGTGATCGGCATATCCGTTCGCCGCTAGGTGTTGATAGATCTGAGACCGCCACAGAGCATAGTTGTCGGAGGTGAGGGAGTAGGACATCAGATTCTTGATGTTGGAGATGATGAACTTGAGGGTGGGAGGAAGAGTAAGCTCTGAAGTTGTCGTTGGTGTCACGGTAGAGACGGGAGGGAGGGACGACGAAACTTCTTGATCTGCCATCCTGGCCGCCTGATACCATGTGAGAGTGGAGCGCGGGAAACAGAGAAAGGAAGAAACGAAATATTTGAAAAGAAGTGGGATATCTTATTATTAACCATATGAAATTAATACAGTAGTATATATAGAGGTGCTTAATAAGTATGAAGTACAAAGTGATTGATATGGGACAAAATCTGTTTTAAGGTGTGTTCTCACAATTGTATGACGACCCAAGGTGGAACGGAGAAGAGCTTTTTTTTCATAAAAAAATAAATATTTTAATCATTTTCTTCACATTCAATAAATATAGTTGCCCAAATTAAAAAAAAAAAAAAATTATTTTCTATTTCATACATAAGATTATGCATTTCATAATCTTATTTTGTCAACCCTCAAAAAAGACGCAGCTAGTTCTACGGCTTATGTCTCTATTCTAATATAATTTGTATCATGATGATTTGAAAGCCTTTTAATTTATGTTGAGATAAGTGCTTTTATATATGATAGTAATAATTGAAATAATCTCAACACAAGCTAAATGGCACTTAGGACTATCCTAATGCAAATAATGTCAATATATTCTTATGTAGATTTTTTTTTAATATAGATTAATAATTCATATAAAATAAGTTGTATTCAAGAATAAAAATTGTTATAGAATAAAAATGATGGTTGCATAAATTTTAATAAATAAATTAAAATGCAAAAAATAATGGCAATATATCCTACTATAAATTTTATAAATATGGGCTTGATAATTATTGGATTTATTCCTAGATTGATTTTAAATTTGAAGAATTTATATTATTTTTTTTGTTTTATTTTTTATATCACAACTACATTTATGTTTGGTTATGATTTTCTTGTAGCTTTCTTGTTAATTTTCAAAATTTTATGTAATGGAAAGTTATTTTTTATAATAAATTTAATAATATATGATACTTGTATTAAAACATTTAGATTTTATTTGGGACAACTTTCATACTACTTTTTAAAACAGAGTTTTAGTACAACTTTTATTTGAAAAAAATATACAAAAACTATATTTTATAAACTAGTAAGAAAGCCGTACCAAACAAAATTTTATTTAACTTTTTGAAAAAGAACATATTTTTAGTATATAAAATAGTTTAAAAAATATTTTCTCATAATTATTCAAATATTTATAATATTATGGATATGAACTTCTGAAATTCTAAAAGATTAGATTTGTTTACCTTTTTAATGGATATGATGAGATGTTTAAAATATTTCAAGAAAACAATTAAAATGTTATACTAAAGACATTTAAAATAATAATAAAATTTTTGGACATTTAGTCCAATAATAATATTTAATTTTATTATTTTAATAATTATATTGAAATCAAAATTATAATAATTAGAATTATTGTTTGGAATGTTTTTTTAATCAATAAGTCAAAAAATAATTTACGATAATCCAAAATCAGATTAAACTATCTCAAAATTTAACCCGTTGGGCCCCACCTAACTCAAGGTGGATTAACACGGGATCCCACCGTTATTATTTCCGTGGACAAATCCAAACAGCAAACATATGATTATCCAATCATCCTTGCGCTGCAGTTGGAAGTCGCGCCAAATAGGCAATTATTTCCGCGTATCAAATTATTGTAAGGGGCATCGGTAAATATTGCGAACACCGGGGTTTCAGTTATTGGAATTTCCTTTATTTTTTATAGTTAAAAAAAGCTCAGGTTTTCCGTTTTCCCGCAACTCGGCTCCTTCCCTCCCCGTCCCCACTCTTTCACAGAAAGGGAGGAAGCTGAGGACAAATTGGCAATAGGATTTCATCTAGAGTGGAAAACGATCTCATTTCATGGCGGCTCGACTTCAATCGTTGCGTGCTGGTTAAGGTACGATGAGCCTTGGGCGATGCCTTCATTCCTGGTTTGAGGAAACTAGGGTTTGTACTTTTGGGCTCGAGTTTACGCCAGAGAGATGCGTTTGTTCGTGCTGATTCGGAATTGCTAAGGTTGAAAACCTGTTTCTGTAGATTCTTTTTGTGTGCTTGGGGAAAACATGCGCTCTTTTTTGCCGAGATCTTCTTCAGCTAAAGAGCATAAGAATGGAGAGGGGAGCAGCGGAAGCAGAACGCATCTCTACTTAAATGTTTATGATCTCAGCCCCATCAACAACTACCTCTATTGGTTCGGATTTGGGATTTTCCACTCCGGGATCGAAGGTGTGGTTTCTTACTTATCAATAAGTTGTTTTGGTAATTATAGACGCGATATTTATTTATGCCAGCTGTTGAATTGTGGTTCTTCTCAAATTCTATATGGTTTTGACTAAAGTTTGTACTTTGGGTCTCTTTCGAGCTGAGTGGCTTCAGGCTTTTAGGTAAAATTTGGAATTGATTCGATAGTCAAAGGTTATAATTGTTTCCTTCAGACTTTCCCATCTTCGTTCACAAGGCGTACATGATTAGTTATGTATACTCGTTGATGCCTTCTTAGGTGCCGCACAGGTATTTAGTAGGTCCTAATAAGAGAAGTCGGACTCGATAGGTCTCAACAGTGAAGACGCATCCAAGAATGATCACCTTCATATATTGTCACATGATAACTAAGGGATTTCAACCCAACTTGGCAAAACAATTCAAGGAAAGTCGCCTCTCAGATAAATTCCTGGGGCTTGCCTAGGATTCCCTAGACTTGGAGGACTTGTCCCTCTTACGGGAGGCACTCTTTCAAAGTTACTCGCAATCACCTTAGGCGGTGAGCCACAAATGGAATTCATCAACCCAGCTAGGAAGGATTATCCCAAGAAAGACACAAACTTGCTTTCTCGCGCTCAGCTAGTGGCTACCATTACAGTTCAAGTGTACTTACTATTCGTATCGAAATAGTTGTGCTAAAGGACTCATCGAGGATGGCCTTTCCTGTGAGAACCCCAAAATACAAAATGTATTAAAACAAAAAAAACTTAAATTCTAGTTGAACTAGAGAGCTTCGGCGCTGTGCTTGTGAGCAGTATGGCGTTAGTTTGAAGAGCACAGTGACACTAAAATGTGGCGCTATGGTGTTTGAGTTTTTGTTCTACATTAATTCTGGATCCAACTTGTGGCGCTGAGTTAAGCGCTACGACACTAGGCCACTAACAATTATATATATATATATATATATATATATATTGTGGGGTGCATCCGTCCACTCTATCTCTAGTTCATGAAATACAGAAAAAAAAAAAAAAAAGTAGAAA